TTTTTTTTTTTTTTTGTCTTTCATTTATTTTTTCTTGATTGATTCTATGATAACTTAAAGAAATATAATTAAAATATTTTCTTATTGCACGCCTACCTATTTATTAATTAAGTAAATAATTATTGTCTTTGTTTGTTTTGCTTTATGAAAGAAATCTACTTTTAAATTTAATATTTTCATGACATTTTTCCCGATAAGACTATTTTAACAGCTTTAATAACATCTTTTGGTTGTGGCAAAGCCATTGATTCAATTGTTTTTGCATAAGGCATGGGCACATCAACACCCGTCACTCTAAAAACAGGAGCATCCAAATGAAAAAAAGCTTCACCTGAAAAAATTAATAAATAAATAAAGTTTAGTTAAATTAATAAAAATTATAATGCGTAATTAATGTATTTTAAGATTTAAAACGTTATTTAATTTTAACTTGAATTTTTTTGTAAAGGTTATCCTCTTTTTTTGATCTTGAAAAATTATTAGACCGTAAAAATAATTAATGTGACGTTAAAATATTTTTTTTTATTTAAAAAAAAAAAAAAAAAAAAAAAAAACAAATTAGATAATAGTAAAAACAGTGTTACTACACTTCAATCATTACTAACTTTCTGATATTCTAGAAATAATTTCTGCACCAACTCCGCAAAATGGCCAACCATGTTCTACAGTTACTAAATGATTTGTTTTCAGTACCGATTGTTTTATTCCTTCTTCATCTAATGGCCTAATAGATCTAAGATTAATTACTTCACATTCAATTCCTTCTCCTGCTAAAATTTTTGCAGCATCTAATGCTGTTTCAACTGCTTTAGAATGTGCGACTAAAGTGACATGTTTTCCTAAAATAAATAACTTATATGAGCATAAAAGTTTTTGCAAATTTAAACATTTTAATACATCTTTAAAAATTTATACCAGGTCTTTCTACTTTGCATTTTCCAATAGGCAAGACAAAATCTTTTGAAAGTACTTCATCCTCAACTGGAAATTGTTGACCATATAATATTTCATTTTCTAAAAACACAACTGGATCTGAATCTCTAATAGCAGCTTTTAACAGTCCTCTACAGTCTTCAGAAGAATAAGGCGAAATTACCTAAAATTTTGACATACTCAATATATTAAATAAATTAACCTGAAATTAAATGAGAAAAAATTATTAATCATACTTTTAAACCTGGAACATGAGCATACCAAGCTGCAAAGCATTGTGAATGTTGTGCAGCAACTCCAGCAGCAGCACCATTAGGCCCTCTAAAAACAATAGGAACATTCACCTAAAAATTATATAATGAATATAAGTAATACACAAATATTTAAATAAAAATATAAAAAGATGATTACAAAATAAAATCTTACCAAACCAGCTGACATGTAAAAGGTTTTGGCAGCAGAATTAATAATTTGATCTATAGCTTGCATGGCAAAATTAAAAGTCATAAATTCACATATTGGCTTTAAACCAGCCATAGCAGCTCCCACTGCAATACCAGCAAATCCCATTTCAGTGATTGGAGTATCTATAACTCTTTTATCGCCATATTTTTTCCAGAGTCCCCTTGAAATTTTATATGCACCATCATACTGAGCAACTTCTTCACCGAGTAAAAAAACATTTTTATCTCTTTCCATTTCCTCATCTAAAGCTGAATTTAAGGCATCACGAACAGTCATCTATAATGTAATAATGCAACAAAAAATTCTTTTAAAAGATTCAAATAAATATTTTAAAATACTTTTAATTGATAAATTTAATAAATTGTATGTACCTGCTGAGCATTTAAAATTCTGCATGTTGAAAATGATCTTGTAAGTAATCTATTAAAACTAACCTAATAAAAAAATCAATAAAATAAGTATTAAAATAATTCTTATTGATTGATGCTGATTGATGATTTTTATTAAAAATCATTTCAAAAGGAATTTGGAAAAAAAGTGCATATATCCATTTATTAGTAATTAGTGGATATAAAAATGAGCTTTTATACAAAATTTGTAATAATTCACGAGAGAAAAGTAAAAAAACAAAGTTTTTAATAATAAATTAGGTTTTAAAAATAAAAGTGTTAGAAATAATAATAAATCTTACAGCAACTATCATGGTGATAATGAAACACAACACTGTAGGTCAAAAGACTTTTAGAGGTTAATTGATAAGTATCTCATAAAATATATTGTTTTACCGGAAATGGATTTATATTTTAGCATAAACGACTTATCAAGAATTAAAAACATTTTAATAAATATATTTATAATTTTTTTTTTAAATATTTAGAGTAAATTTTACACCTTTTACAGTTTATAAAATTTTAAATAAAAATTAATCTTGAAAAAAAACAAAATTTTAAGTATGCTGCTGACATTCGTACTTGTTTACAAATTTCCTTTGTTTCAGAATGGTTTTTAGTAATTTTAATTTTTTCTTATTTTATTATCGATGACATTACTCAAAAATGTATTTTATTTAGATAAAATTCAATTTAATAACTTTTATTTGAATAAAAAAAGAAGAAATGTTTAAATAAAAATTTGATATATCGAAATGAGCGATGTTATTTAGGTGTGCGAATCTCAAATAAAGGTGAAGAATGGCGGAGAAAAGTGAATCTGTAATTCGACCGATTATGAAAATCGGTCATTATACGTTAGGGCAGACATTAGGCGTTGGAACTTTTGGCAAAGTAAAAAGTTAGTATTTGCATATATA